GCCCGGCCCCGCTCCCGCCCCAGCCCCGCAGGTTCAGGGAGCGCCTTGGGTGCTGCCGGGGCAGGGGGTGCTCAGATGTGCAGTGTCACCCCCCAGGCTATGACACGTCCCCGCCAGCCAGCAGCACCATCCTCCCACCGAAACACAGCTGGAGGAAAAAGGGAACCCCCCACCCCACAACAAATCCCACAGCTGGGGGTGCGTGGGCGCTGCGAGAAGCTGCGATCCATGGCAGCACCGGCCGGCCTGGGGTGCGAGGAGCGATGGCAGGCGGGGCACAGGCAGCGCTGGGCACAGCTCCGGGCGCAGGCAGCAGCCGATCGAGGATGCCCTGGCCCCAGGGAGGCCACTCCGGGGGGACGGAGGCGGCCGCGCTCCCCTCGGCTCCAGCACCGGCTGAGCCCCGCAGGAACGGCAGCGCGGCATTGGCGAGAGCCAGGCCCCGGGGAGCCGCGGGCGCTGACGTTTGTGTAATTCAAGCGGAAATACTTTTTTAATGCCAATAAATCATGAGAGCCCGAAGCGTTTTCCAGGCACGAGGAAGCACTGTGGGGCACAGAAAGCACGGCCAGCCTGGACCTGCTCCGGCCCCAGCTCGGCCACCACGCTGCAGGGGCTGCCACATGCACTGGTTGGACAGGGGCCAGGGGCAGTGACACTATTTTTACCCCTGCCACCACATGATTCTTCAGCTGCTCAACCTGATTTGGAGCTGGGGATGGAACACCATGCACTGACAGCAACAGGCCAGGGCAGGCTCCATGCCTTAACGGCTTGGAAAGCTCCTTGGTTAGAAATGAATTAAAAAATAACCATCAAAACCTGAAAAAAATGAGTGCAGCAGCTCAGTGCACATCAGGGAGGGCTATGGCACCAGGGTAGCAGTTACTGCTCCCAGGATATAGTTCAAGTATCTGCTCTCAGTCTCTGATCTCTAATTGATTACAGAAGCTACTTAATGAACTATTTGGTAGAACAAGGTGTCACCTCACCAAAGGAGGCCCCAGGTGATAGTGACAGCCAACACCAGCATCAGGGAAAACCCATCCCAGCCCTACAGGACACAGGCTGCAGTTCGCTCAGAGCAGGGAGCTGAGGAGATGCAGTTCAGCACATGGAATGCCGCAACCCTTTCTCACAGGAAGCAGCCAGTGCTGCAACAGTGGAAATGAGGACATGTTACTGGAAAATAACAGAATCTGAAGAAAAAAAGACTGCACAAGCTGCAGTAGCTGTGGAGACAAAGACACCAAACCACACAGCCCCTGCAGGGCAGCTATTGATGAGCCACAAACCTCACTGAAGCTTTTCCAGGATCCAGACAATACCACAGTCATCTAATCAGAGTGAAACACCTCAGCTTGCCCTCAACCAGCACCTGACTGCCTGAGAGAACAGCAGCAGCTCCTAGTGCAGCACCAACCCTCCCTGCCACAAGCACTCCCAAGCATCCAGACCCCCCTCAAGCATATCATACCCATTTTGCCACATGGAAACCAATTTATTTTCATGTTTCTAATCTGGCAAAGGTGGTCCAGCCAAACATTGATGACTCTTCATGACACTAGAGGAAGAAACCCTGCTACAATGAGCAAAGCCACCACTAGTGTATTTCAACATATTAAACAACTTGATATTTAAACAAAAAATTGTATTTAATGAATGACAGCGTGAACTAGAGTGTATGTGCACAGTGCAGCTGCCAAAGCATCAAGTGAAGCAACATGAACCACGGCAATTTGTGCTGCAACAGCTAAACCCAGCACTGCTCTGGCTTCTAGAGAACTCTTAACTCTTGCTATCTCAGGCTTAATTACTACGGTCATCACCAAGAAAGCTATGAAAAAACAACCAGGCACAGGTAAGCATCTGGAATTCTACAATACAAAACTATGTAACACAAAAAATGGGAGTAAAATTTCCAGAAATTTTTGTTTCTCAGACCCAGCCATACCAGTCCACACTGACAGTCTGCTTATTCACTGAATACTCTCTAGAATAAAACAGAAGCAATTTATAAAAATATTTAAATATTTTATTTTTAAGAGCTGTATGTTCCTGGTTCCTCTTCATTGCATTCACACTTCTTTTTCTGCAAGTGCAAAGCACACAATTAGAAAGATTTTGAAAGAAAGACAGAAAACAATAGCAGAAACTACATGATGTGGAATCATCATTCAGAATCACAGGCCACATGCCTGCCCGATATTCTCAAGTATTCACATCACATTTTAGATTAAATGAACAGAATTCATGTATTTTTAAGGTCAGATATGGCTTTGAGTGTTTTCCTACCCCACAGCAAGGAGCAGCAGTGCCAAACCACAGAAGGCTCAATACAAATTCACCCATTGAATCCCACAGGTCTGCTGTTACTTACTTGTGACTTCAGGGTTAAGGTACTCAGCATGTTGCTCCTCAAACAAGATTTAAAATATCTGAAGTTTCCCCTTGTAGTTTAGTGACAAATTAGAGGGAAAATGTAATTAATTCCAGTTCTGCAAGAACTGCTATTTGCTTTGCTCCTATACATGCTGATTTATACATCAGGCTATTTCTTAAATTCAATGTTAAAAGTATTTCAGCAAATAGCTTTTTAACAAGGTTTAGCTGAATTAACATCTGAGAAGCAGCTGCTCTATTTTCCTTTTCCCATGCTGACAATCACCAACTGCAGCCTGAGTGCAGGAATGGTCATTTTTCATTTGACCACCCTGCTGCACACAAAGGACAGAATTTATTTGCTGCTGAGGGGCTGAAAAGCCTTAGACAATGGTTACATTTTGGCTCTACAAAAGCAAGACGCAGAAACTTTATATAAAATTGAGATTAATGACACGTTTCAGGCAGGAATTACATAACCCAACACAGGGTGATGGGCTACCAAGCCCTCACAGCAATGTAACACAAATTACTTACTTGTCCACCTGCTCCCTTGGTCCCTCCACACACCACTGGACACCGTGCTGGATGTGCTCATGTTCAACTCCTCAACTGGAAAAACATTCCCAAGTTATTACACCCACAACTGATTTTGAATTTTTTTTGTACAAACCCACGTTGAGAGAGCTATTTTTAGCTGCTGCTGTCAAGATATCAAGCCCAGGTGGAGTCAGGGTGCTCCAGCCCACAGTGTGACAGCAGGGACTGTGTTCTACCCTACACATTTAATGTATCCATTTGTCCCAGCTTCTAAGTGTTCTCCAATTCAAAGGCACTAAGTGACTGAACACCAAGGGGCAAAAAACCTTTATTATTTCATTCATCCAGGACAAAAAAGCCATACTTACTTCCAACGGATGAGCACTCTGGTGTCACTCAGCTTTCATCTTCACCTAAAGGATAACAACTGAAGTTATTAGAGTCATACACAGCAAATTGTGACCATTTCAAAATTAACTTAAAAATAACGTTTTAACATACATGGACTGATTAGTTATGAGGGGGAACTTATCAATTATTCCAAACTATTACGTGGAAGAATAAGGGGCAGAAGTAGGCTAGCCTAAACACTCATCAAGAGCTGAAGGAATATGCAGGCAGTTGCCTGAAGAAGAGCACAAACCGTATCCCCAGTCTGAGCACAGTGAGGTCTGATTGCAGCCAGAGGTATACTATCCCTTATGTGAAGGCATTAATTTCATCAGCTACTTCAACTCTATGATCCTGTTTGTCTCCTGTAGCAATGCCCTCTCTCTTCCCCTTCCTGAGGGAGTGGAGTGGTCCTGGCCTCTTGAAGCTCTCGTGTTCTACAGTCGAACAAGTGCTTCAGAAGCCAAAGGCAGACTCTAGAGTTTGGCACTGTCACTGCTTTTATCCTCAGCAAGGTTCTTCCCTCCTCAAGGCCTCCCTTTACTATAGTTGAGGGCAGCCTGCTGAGGGCAGCTGCAATATTGAGAGCTGGGGATGTGGTGCAAGGCTCTGCACAGCTCCAGTTGGGAGGCAGATCCCACCATGGGCACAGAGTGATCTGACCAGGCAGGGACAACTTCAGGCTTTAGTCTCCAACCCACCACCCACCTGGGTTTCCTCACGGCCCTTGGGAGCAGGAGAGTTATGCACGTTTTGTTTTCTCTGCCATAGCAACAAACACCATGCATAAGGGATACTATATCTTTGTGCATCCTTTGAACACTGCAGATTCCCTGCTAGCCACACTCCTCCCAGCCCTCCCCAGTTAGCTCTTCAGTACTGGTGTTCAGAAGCAACATTTATAGAGATGGGGTGTTCACAGACCACTGCGGGATTGCACAGCCAAGTCCTAACGTGTCAATCATTACCTAGCAGCAATGACACAGTTGGGAGAAGGCCAATCCTCCCTTTTTTCCTTTTCCAGGCAGCAACTATTTAACAGCCCCACTAGCTGGTATGGAGGGTGAAAAAATCTGAAGCTAATTAGCTGATTCCAAAACTTGCTGGTAGTGGAAGAAGCCAAGTGACTCCCCAGAGCAGCATACTTGGATGCATCCTTCCCAACATGCTCAGCCTCATTGAACATAATGGAACAGAACACTGGCCTTCCTGATCATGTCACTGCAGCTGGCAATGATTAACAGAGACATGCAACCCCATTACTGCTCCAGTCCTAAAACTACTCACAGGCCTCAGTGTTTAGCTATGGGGAGAACTGCAAGCAAATCAACACTTTGTATGCTTAATGTTACAATAAAGCCCCATCCACGCTGTGCTGTGCTCTCCTGCCAGCACCAGGCTCTGCTCGGAGGGCCTAGCAGTACGCAGATGTATTCTGACACCACACTTCTGAGCTTCAGGTAAGCTTTTGAGAAAAAGTGTATTTCACACACAGATAAAACCAAGATGAAACACAATGCAAGCACTTGAATGTCATTTCTTGTACCCATTTGTTACAAACTGACTTAGAGCAGACATGACTAGGTTTGCTACCACACCAAGTTTCACTACTGCAGCCAGAGCTGGTCTGAGCCCCATGGTTTCAGTCACAAATTGCTTGCTCCAAGAGTGTCAAAAACCTGCTTAGTTCAAGTACGTAGAATGAGGCAGATGTGCCAATAACCCCACGACATTCCTGCAGGTCAAGTATCCAGAGCACAATGGAAAAACTCAAAGTCAGATCTTGAGCAATGGTTTAAGATCACTAATTCAGTATTGCTACCTGACAGCACAGTGGCTGCCAGCAGTTTTGCTACTGGATCCCAGTCCCAGGTAAGGATAAGCCATCACAAAATGGATTCAAGTCACAGGTAAAGGTAAACCATCATGAAAAGCCAAACTGATTTTGTGACAAGGTGTCACTGTGTGACCAGCTGGCACGGGCTACACTCACTGTGGTGTAACCAAAGACCTGTTGTCATTAACTTATGGTGCACTTGCTACTTCAAGGGTCCAGTGGAACATGGAAAGGTGGCTACAGCAGAGGGCAAGGTTGTCCAGCAGATCCCTGTTCACCAGCAAGAGTCCTGCCTGGAAAGGTAACAAAGAAGGGTCCAGAAGTGACAATAGTGCCAGAGACAAGTATGCAAAGCAGAACTTTGCAGAACAAGGGAGAACACATTACAACACCTGTGAAATAAAATGAGTATCAGACAAGAGCCAGATCATTCACTGGAACAAGGGACCTTGAAATTCAGGTTCAAGAGCTAATGAAAAAGAGCTGGAGATCAGCATATCTGGATGTCTACCAACGTAAGCATGTTAATCCTGGAACACTATAGTCAGGAGTTCTAGTAATGAAGAGTTTAGAATTACATCCCAAGACTGATGAAAAATTAAATTGTACATTACGCTATCAAGATGACTCTACAAGGCAGAAGTACAGAATCTCATCACTGTCAATTAAAGCAGAGGAATGTATCAGGCTTGTCAATCAAAGTTTAAAATAAAGACTACTGCAATGTCCAATAAGCTCTATGAAACTCACAGGGATATTCAATCAAGCACTCATTTATGTCCTCAAAAATATTCTGGATCAGTCTCAGAACTGCTTGTACCAGTAAGTTGAGGTGACTCTCACATAGCACACACGAGGCAAGAGCAGTGGTTACTAACACATTCCCACCAAGCCAAGACTCTACACATGGATGAGCTGCAGATGGGCCACTTCATACTACAGAAAATTTAAACGTGTTCTTTTCTAGGCACTGAGAGCACCTTGCCAACTACTCAGCTGAGGTTAAGATCACATTCCCTCTTCCCCACAGTGCTCATTTAAGAGTATCTTCATTACATCGGAACTAAGAAAAATCCACCCAAGCCAAGTTGTGTGTACAGAGGAATCGGGTCTGGAAATCCTCGTCTAAGAACCACAGTAAGTTACTTGTTGTCTCTGAACGAGACAAAAGCTTCAAACAGAAAACCACGCAGCTTTGATGCAAGCTCAGCATACAGGTATGGAGTGCTGCACTGTAATTCCACAGTCAGAAGTGTGATGTCAGAATACCCACAGTATAAGATTACATAGAAAGTCACCAAGTTATATGATATTGCTTGTTACCTACCTGTACGCAGTCGGCAATGAGAATCTTGGAGCAAGCAGGAATACTACATCCGGGTCCTAATGTCCATTGCCATTTGTGGTACTACGTTCCTCACAGTTATGAACTGCAGAAATGCTGGCTAAGTGCAGTTATGTAGCAGGCCACTAGTTTAAAGTGTAAATTGTAGTCTCAAACTCCAGCAAGAACTTGCTGCCACAGTAAATGGTTGCCAAGGAGAAGCCAAGAATTTGTCTACCACAAAAATACCACAAAATCTCAAAAGCATTTTCAATTTCTCATCAGCTGTATAAATGATTAGTGTAATGTATCTATGCCAGAGGGTAAGATTATTCTGTATTCATTTCTGAGAAAGTGTGAAGACATGTGTAACGATACCAGTTTCTACTTGCTGCAGTTTTTAGAGCTCCGAGTATCAAAATGGGCTCAATTTTGATAAAATAAGCTAAATTGCAACAGCCAATGTCCTTCAAGTCCAGTACAAAAATGTTATGTGATCCAGACCATCCAAAACCAGGTCTGACCAGCAAAGCACTTTTCTGAATGATTTTTAGAAGATTCAATTATATAAATCTGAGTTTATGAAAGAAGTCCAAAACCTCATAGGAGTAGATCAAAGGAATGTCACTTTCTCACCTCCCACATTTAGTAACTTTTATCAGATTTTAAAGTTGACATGTTTGCCAGCTTTTAAGACATCATCTTTAAAAGGTCTTGAAAAGAAGTTGGCTAGTTCATCATATGCCTGTTTAGTACATGCAACTCAAAGCAGAACTTGTTTTAGAAATTCTGCTTATGCAGCTACAACAAAGCCAGATTTAACCAAACTTTCAGATCTTTTGAAAACTGCCAAATCTTTCAAATATATTTACTAATCATGGTTTTGCAGCTCAGCTATTTTAATACCTAGCAACAGTAGCTTACGTACAAAACAGGGGTACCCAAAGAAAAGCTCTGTAAGGTACAAAGTCAGCAGCATCCTTCACTCTTCCAAGTTACAGAACTATAAAAGAACATACTTTAGGATATGCACCAGCATCTCTTTTAATTAAGAATGACATGTAATCTGAAAAATAAACTGAAAAAATTAATTTAATGTTCACGTTCAAAATCCCCCACCTTGGACACCTTCACCTTTTGAGGGTGTCCCATGAACACCCTCCAGAAAAGATATTGTTTAAAACCGCTTCAATAATGCAAATTGCATCAATACTGGTCATTTTTAAACTATCCAATACAAGTAACTTCCAAATACTCAGTCTGCAGTTTAGGAACTGCCAATTTGGAATTTCCTCCTCTCAAGAGCAATTCATTGTTGTAGCATGTATCAACTCCCAAACTTTTCTGGGTAAACAAAAAGCATTCACCAAACAAGCTGAATCACTTTTTAGTGAGCTTTATGTTCCACGTCAGTGTTACCTGTATCAGCATTTCCCAACTTGCTATTCTGTCATTTAAGGGGTAACAGTACTTCAAGAGGGATCAGACATCTGTACCCTAAAACCCTGCAATATGACACTTTAGATTTTAACCACAGGGAAAATTTAGCAGAAAATTTAGAATTAGCCAATGCTCAGCACAAGGAATGCAAGGATATTGGGAAGATTAAAGCTATTCACAGAACTCGGGTGGTTGGGGATCACGTGATGGTACAGCCAAGCTAAGTTTACCTACTTTGTGCCAAGCAGGTTGATGTATCCTGCATTAACACTGAGGTATTTGACACTGGGAAGCCACGCTCCCAGTTTACCTGGTACATTGTAATAACAAGCAAAGCAACTACCTTACCAATGAGTCCAGAATGCTCTGAAATTCTTCTGGGGCTTAATAAAATGAACAGCAAACTAACGAATTCATCAGATCTTCTACAAAAGAACCTTAAAGGGAGTTTATTTGCACTGTGTAGTAGTAACTCTTAAAACTCCAGATTCAGATACTACTTTTGAAGCATTATCTCCAAACATCAATAATAAAAAAGCGATAACCATCATGCAAGCAAGCCGATTGCTGTGTTTTACATACAGGATTTTAGGATTTGCCCACCAGCTACACAATTGAAGAACAGTTCCTGAAGTCCCCATAATACAAATGATTGTACTCTGAACTAGGCAAATTAGTCCACTGTTAGCATGAGGACATAAGCAAATTAACCTTTATCACTCGAGTAACACTTCTGGTCTTTTTGCCAAGCAATTTCAGGCAGGTGTACAATATGGAGCAAGGCCAGATCCTGTAATCTCAAGACAGCTTAAGAGCATATAAATATCACATTAACAATCCTTTAGTGAGGAAGTCAGCCAATACAAGGCATTCTATGAATTTATTTTAAAATAACCATTGCTAGTCTTCTGCTTAAAGTCTTTAAAAGATTCCAAGCAGTAACTGCCAGGGTGGTAAGTGCTACCATCCCACCACCCATAGCTAAAATACAGAATTCATTACTGAACTGCTTGCAGTGAAGCTTTAAATAATGTATCTTACAGCATTTGTAAGATTTCCATTTGCTTCCTTGCTGCAGCACAATTACTGCTCAAAAAATCTGCACCTACTTCAAAGTTCGGCTACAATTTAACCCAATCTTTGGCTACAGAGGCACTGTGGGAAGAGATCTCACTCTTCACTGCAGTTCCACACCCTGGTCTAGGTCCGACCTCAGCTCGAGGCTTTCAGGTTACTGTGGCAGGTGTGGTATTTGGCCTCGTTTGTTTAACCACGACTGGCAAGAAGAGTTACTACATTTAGTTTTCTATTTATTTTAAGCACAGTAAAAAAAAGGTTGGTACACTTTGGGAATTCAGTGGCACAAGGTACACTGCCATCAAGTTAGGGACGTTATACATCAAAAAAACAGCTAAATTTGATTTTGAAACACTGCATTACATAATTAAATTGTACTCGCCCAAACAGACCACTTACAAATATTAGGTCAGTAAGTTTCTAACATCCATAAAAATGTAGCTTTCTTACTAAAATGCAAGAATTAAGAAGTTGGTGTCTAAACAAGACAGACAAAAACAAACTGGAATGAAACTACAGGTCACATCTAAAATCGGGGCTTTTTGTTTGGGGCTTCATATTCTTCTCTCCCTCTACCATATCCTGCTGGTGTTCCAGGCCCCATTCCTCTAGGACCCTGGCCACCCACGGGCCCCGCACCTCCCTGCCCAAAGCGTTCAGGACGCTATTGGAACAGAATTAACAGTTCATTATAAGTAGTTGATGTCCATGTGTGTTAAGTATGTATTTTTAGAAGGTTCCGTAGTCAAGGTTCGTCGATACAATCACCATTGAGCCGATCCACAGGTACCGGGAACATAGAAAGGAAAAAAGGGTAATTTAAAAATTAGTTTATTGTAATACATGCCTTGAGGTATGTTCCCACTTGATGCATTCTCATACATCTGTTACAAAGAACAGATCCTCCCTGCAGTGCTAGAAATGTAAGCATTAGTGCAGATGTGAATTAACAACTTTTCCAAATGAGCTCTAGCAAAATTTTCAATCAAGTTAATGCAAATAGCTTGTGAACGTCTCACCTTTAGTGCAGTAAAAGCTCAGATTACATCACTGTCATTTCCAAATAAGCCTAATGAGAGAATGCAGCTCCAGTTGGCTGAAGCAGGAGCTGACATTCATCAAATGTAACAGAATGCCTACTCACCAGGACTGGCATGTGCTGTCTAGAGACCATGTGCTTTTCAAGATGGGGTTAAGACTACGGTCTGCTGACTAAACTGCAGAGGTCTTTGGCAGTACCAAAACTCATTGTGAGCACTACTGCATTGCAAGAAGAAAAAAAAATGTGAAAAAAGCTACTGACCAGTGCTTTACCTAACCAACGCAACTGCTCAAGCAAAGACTGGCACTTGTTCAAACCCAACGTACTCCGGAGCTGCTGGTGCTGCATCAGATGCAAAACGTGTTCCAAGCACTCAGTGTTTCCAGTTAGAGCTATGCACAGAGGGTTGTGTGCATCCAGGCAGTATCTCCCTTCCCACCCCCCACCTTCACCACAAGCTCTTGGAAAATTCACAGCTTCACAGCAATTGAAAAGGTTTCACACCAAGGTGTAACAGCTAAGTTACTCTGCAATAAAGCAGAGACTTCAGGTCTATTTACTAGTACCTCTAGTTGCATGTACTTTGTTCAGTTACTGTATTACTAGGTGTGATCAGCACTCAGCCTACAGAAGTTACACATTATGAGGTCAAAGAGAGCTTTAAATTTTCATTTCAGCCAAGGTTCCCACTACCGAGTCACAGAACAATGGTAGGTGGTTTGTTACAAAAAGTATCTGCAACTGAAAATGCACGCTTCAGAGCTCCTGACTTCTGAAAGTCAGCATCAATCCTTCCAAGAACGGAGTTTCACAAATATTACTTAGGTTATTTCTGCCTAATTCATGCAGCTTCAGCTCATCTCCAGTTCTGTTTAAAGGTATCAGCCCAGGAACTGTGACCGCATTGTGTGGCAGAGATCCCCAACCTAAGAAACTCCAGGCAGTTAATCCACCTCACTGTCACATCTTTTGACCAGATCACATTTCAGGTATTACACAAGTTCAACATGCATCTGTACCATGGTTTTCAGGAGAAAAATGTACATAGTATCCACCACACACTGCCTAACTGCTCACAGGAAGCTCAGGAATTGCTTATGTATCAGTAGGTTATTGAGATACCTCAAGGCCAACAGCACTGTCTACTGAATCAATGATGCTCTGGCAAGTTACCATTCCAAAGATATGTTCCCCAAAAAGTAAAACAGAAGATTTCTGACAAGCTACTATGGTAGCTCAGCTCATTAAGCCAGAGGCCTAAACCCACCCAAAAGTCATTTAGTTCAGCTTGTGCCATGAGTGTACACCCTTTCAGGAGGGTGAAAGCACACTGGTATTGCCACCTAAGCCAACAGATTCCCATCCTGCCCATTAAACATTTCTGTCATCTACATCCATGGTGCCTCAGTGTAGGAACACCAAACAGGGCCAAGCCCAGTCACACGTGTAGTGTGCCAGAAATCAGTATGGTTTGGAAGCATACCTCAAAACAGGAGATATGCTGTAGTTTTAACAAGTTCTACCTTTGTGTCATGCCCAACACAGGAAAACAGACTGGGCTATCATTCCTTTGGGAGACAGGAACCACAAATGGCTACAAGTCCAGGATAGCTGGAACATGCCTGAAGCTAAAAACCAGCATTTCTGATCTTCTACAGCCACATCAGCACAGACTAAGGGATATGCTGTTTACCATTGATAATTTAAGTTAATGTGCTGCTGGAACAGACCTGAGTGCAGATTTTAGACTGAACAGCACACCCAGACCAACAAGCATCCAGCCTACCTAGGCTTGGAAGGGCCAAAACAGTGTTACACATTGGGAAGGAGAACAAAAAAATCTCTTGTCCATCAATACAGAACATCAGATAACTGAAAAGCTACCACATTAAGTATTTTGATGAGATTTGTCAGATTCTCTAGAACTCATAAAAAATCCTTCCAAGCCTAACAGTGACGCAGAATTTCCAAAGTCCTATGAAGTCACGTTAACTGCAAATATGCTTACGAGCACATTTGAATCCACTTAGAAACAATTTCTGAGTGTGTAAGCTACCATTAAGGGTATCAACTACTGTAGTGCTACACACTGCCACGTTGTCCTGTGTTAAACACCTGACAAGAGAGTCAGCAGTTAACAGTGACATTTCCACAACCATCCAAACACTGGAGAACTCATTCCCAACCATAACAACTCCCTTGTGCTAAGCTAAAGCCACCACAGGATACGTTACCATGTCACTTCCCATCATAGAACCACTCATGGCTGCTTGGCCAACTCCTGGATTAGCTTCATAACCTATGCCGCCACCACCTCCCAGAGGTGGAAATTTCTGGGCTGCTGAAGCATAAGGATCTAAGAGAGAGAAATATATAATCATATTCTGAAAATTTCTAAGTTAGTCACACAAAGTGATTATTTAAAAGGTTCTTTACCTCCCATGTTCATTGTGGCAGCACCACCCATTCTCATGTCTCGCTCCCTCTGCATAGAAGAAACAACTTTTAACTTGAATCATCAACCACCAAAATTCAAACTTTTCAGGAGACAAAGCACATGTACAGCCAACTACTGCCACTGCCCATACACAGACACAGTTCAATTGCTAACCCAAAGGCAGCAAAACACAGCAATCTTGAAAATACATCTACAAAATTCCTGAGCATGGTAATGTAACCCAAACCCACCACACTGTCACTTACTGGATCCATGTAACCCATTCTACTGTAATTCTCTTCCCTCTGTCTTCTCATCTGCTCTTCCATCTCCCGCTGACGGATCATCATCTCCTCCTCCCGCCGGCGACGCTCCTCCTCCTGCCTGGTCATCAAAGCAGATGTTAAACACCAGGAGTGGAGCACACTGAACACAGAGCAACATCAACTGCTCCAGCAATGTAAAGGCACTGAAAGATTACACTTCAGAAAAAAAACCAGAAACATACTCTATGATGCTCAAATATTAGAAGAGAAACTTACACAGCGGTTCAATTTCGCACACACAAACTGAAGCAGCAATGGTGTTTCTTGAAAAATAAAAACTTTCATATGTAAGTAATTGAAAAAAGAAAATGGTAAATTTAACTTTTAATAAAATCCCATGAAAGCCAAACTAACCTCAGCTGAATTTCCTTGCGTTTCTGCATTTCTTGATTATGGAGTTCTTCCATACGCCTCAGCTCCTCCTGGCGCCTCATGAGGTCTGCAGGAATGAAGCCTGTGAGCAGCTTTTCCACACTAAGTCCCATTTTTACCTACATCTGAATTAGATTTGTCTCAGCTGCATTGTGGCAGAGAGGTACCTTCCAGTGTCACCGTTACTGGATTCAAAAGAATTGACATTCTAAATTCTGTGTCAAAATTTTGACATTCTTATAATTTATAACCGTTCTTATCAATACATCACTGAAATAAATACCAAAAAAATACCAGTTCCTCTTTAATTCTGAAATTCTCAAGTTCATAGTTAGAAGCATGAATTTCCTTCGATGAACCATTAGAGAGCCATATATTTAGGCCAGCATTTAAAGCAAAAAAATAGTAAGAATACATAACTCATTACCTTGACGAAGGAGGTTTGCCTGATGCTCATGATAAGCATCTTCCATCTCACTTTCAAGTTTGTCCTTGGCATCTTTCATGTTTTTTGCCACTTGCTCTCTCTGCTGCTTTTCCATTTCATCTAAAGATTTCCACCTTTGAGAATATTCAAATTCAAAACTGCCAGGCTGAGCAAAACGGGGAGGAGTCTCTCTTTCCCTGCAGAAAGAGTGGGCAATCATGGAAACTCAAGGTCAATACAAGATCACGAGCAAAATGACTGAATTATCAGGGAACATCAAGGGCACTCTGAGAATACCTGACAACCACCTCGCTGTGATGGAACTGCTGCATCTTACACATTCAGCAGCACTGAACACATATAATTATCAGCAATATATAATATATATATTGCTGATAATTATATATATATATATATAATATATTAATATATATATAATATATAATCAGCATATAATTACAGCAATATGGACACTCCTGCATTTACACCACATACAAGCAAATTTTCAGAGTGCTACTGCTTTTTTGCCTCATTCCTGTCTGTAGACACTTCACTGATGACAACTGCAGGTGCAAAATCCTCAACAAGTCGGGCCTTTGCCCAAGCAGGCACAATCAAGGTGGAGTTTTCCTGTGCCAAAGCACTCTGTGTCAAAGGCAAATAAAAGCCTTCACTTTCAGGTAAATAGTTCTAAAAGTGCCCAAGGGCCAGCAGGTTGTTTTGTCACATAAATAAACTCGAATTTAGAATTCAATAATTTATTGAATAAAACTACTAAGTTCAAAAGCTTTCCATGCACTACCAATATGAACTATTTCAGCGGTTTGGAACACTGTATTAATCCACATTCTTCTCAAAGCTGCCTCTAAACCACTTACAATTTTTGATCAAAGCAAAGAATTTTGAGAACTTTCTAAGCCAAGCAAGACTGACTGGATCTTCCTCCCTGCACACCCTTTTGTGATCTGGGAAAATACAAAATTCCTACAACAAGCAGGTTTAATGTACAGATTCTAACACAAAACTGCTGTTTCAGAAGACTTCTCTTGGCTCTTTAATACTCCTCTAGACTCTTTGTTCCTTTATGCCAGTAGTCAGCTCATAAGGAAAGTCCACATGCAACAAGTTTATAGTAATCATGGAATGAGTTTAAATTTTACTTTGTTTCTCATTTCAAACCATAAATGCAAATTGCCAAATTCCCCGACACATGCCTTCAGGGAGGTGACAGCTTTTAACAATAGCATGAAACAGTTCAAGTCTGATTTTTCAAGTTTCTACATAGACCAAAACCATGTGTCGAGCTGTTATTTCTTTGTACTACAATGTAGAAAACTGCTTGTGTAAGACTTAGTGAATACACTAAACAAATCATTGTTCCTTTAAACTACGAACAAACAAAAAAAACCAAAACGAAGCAAAACCAAGAACTGGCAATAAAACCGAAAATCTAAAGTCTGTTTCTGAAAAGTTTTCCATATTCTTCAGTGCCAAGGACAATACCACTTGAAACATCATTAATGGGCTCTTTATATAAAAAGACAGTGCCTACTTTTGATACATCGGATTCTTCTGAGCAAGCTTTTCTGGAAGACCATCTTCATCATCCAGTTGTTCCAACGGTTCCACAATAACTGGCCTGGGAGTGCTGAACAGAAAATACTCGTTTTACTCCTCTAAAAGCCCGTATTCTGAAAAACTAGAATCCTACAGTCTTTATTCAGCTCAAAACTAAAAGATCCTGGCAAAGTACTTACGTTGTCAACAAAAACACCCCCTCAGTACACCGTTCAAAAGCTTTCCTCGCAGCTGGCTTTGATGCAAACTCAACAATGCCTTTTCCTGTTGATCTACCTCGGTCATCTACAATCACAACAGCTCTTTCCACTGGACCGAACTGGGAAAAAGCCTCCTCGAGCAACTCGTTGGACACGTAGGGTGAGAGGTTCCGCACCGAAAGGGCAGCGGCGTGAGTGGCAAAGCGAACGCGGAGCTGCCGGCCCCTCATGGGGGTATCGTCCAACTCTGCCTTCGCGATTTCTGCAAGCGCTCTAGATTCCTGGTGGAAGGGCAAAAGCCAATCTTAGAAAACTAAGTTGTATATCACCACATCCCGAGAACGAAAGGGATGAACACACAACACGTATGCCTACCAATTTAATGAATCCAAAGCCTTTCCCCTTGTTGATAAAAACCTCTCCGGGCTCCCCATATTTGGCAAACAATCTTTTAAAGTCTTCATCTGTGATATCAGCAGGCAAATTCCCAACAAACAACCGGCAGCGCTGTGTGTACGTCTTCTCCCCGGGCCGCCTCAGCAGAGAGAGGTTCGCTTTAAACCCCTAAAAGAATCAAACCAGTTCGAGCCATCACTGAGTGCTGCACACAGAACTGCCGGGAGCCCCGAAGAACCCAAACCGCAACCCCGACTGCGAGGGGATCCAAACCGCAGCCCCGTGGCACGGCGAAGAGACCAAAACCGCAGCCCCAGCACCGCCGGGGGCACCGCGAGGAAACCCAAACCGCATGGCCGGGAACGCAAGCCGCAGCCCCGGGCCGGCGCCGGTCCCGGGCCCCGCTCGCACCCCGCTGAGGCGCCGCCGCCTCTCCCCGCTCCTCCCCTCAAGATGGCGGCGCGGGCGCGCGGAGCCGCCGCCATCTTGTGCCTGAGGGAGGCGCGGGGGGGCCGTGACTCACCTCGTCCGACAGCTTCTCGCTCCTTTCCCCCGAGCCCTGCTGCGCCCCGAGGCTCTGCTGGCCCTGGTGCTGCTGCCCGCGGCCCCGCGGCTCGCCGCCCGGCCCGCCGCGGTGCCCTGGGCCGCCTTTGTGCGGCCCCTGTTGCGGGCCGCCCGGCCCCTTGGGGCCGCCGCCGGGAGACTGTCCTTGTCCTTTCTTAGGGCCGCCGGCCGGCGTGGGGCTGGGGCTGGGCTTGGATTGCGGCTGTGGACCCGAAGGAGACGAAGAAGGCGCCGAAACCGGCGGCTGCTGCTGAGGCTGCTGCCCCGCGGGAAGCGCAGAGGATGGAGGCGCTCCCGCCTGGCTGCCGGTGGGTCCCGCCGTGGTGGCGGAGGCTGAGGAGGATGAAGAAGGCGGAGCAGAGGTGGACGTGGGCGGCTTCGGCGGTTCGGGCTTCGGGCCTCCTCCCGGAGGACCGCCCGGGCCTTGCGGGCCGCCCGCCATCGGGCCGCGGTTCTGTCCCATGCCCATGCCGGGCGGCGGCGAGCGGAAATCATGGTTGGGGCCGCCGCGTCCTCCACCGCCGCCACGCCGGTGAAAGCCGCCGCCACCACCGCCACGGCTGCGGAAGCGATCCCGCGACATGGTGTAGCGGAGGGAGGAAGCGGAGATGAGAAGAGAGCTCCGGCCGCGGCGGCTGCTACTGCTCAGCGTCCGCTGCGCAAAATGGCGGTGAAGCTGGACGGCCTCGCCGCCGCCTTTGTCCGCCCCTAATATAGTATCCCCGCCCCCGGAAGCCCCCCTCCTCCGCACCAGCCAACCACCGGCAGCGCCGGTCGTGACTGACAAGCAAAATCACCAATAGCGTGTCGCAATCCCGCTAACTCTTTGATCTCATTGGTAACGAGCCTGCTCTCTGTCCATTGGCGCGTTTGACCGCCGACGTTGGCACGGGACGGTCCGTTAACCCCCCGCGTGCTGATTGGGCAGTTTGAGCGGCGGGAGGCGAGGTCACGGCGGGAGCGCGGCTCGTGATTGGCTGGCTCGGCTGTCAGTCAGCGGGAGGCGTGGTCCGGGCCCGGCTGCGCGGCGCCTCAGGGCGCACTCGACCCTGGCTGCGCTGGAAAAATATCAAATAAACGTAGTTTCAATTACAGTTCGTGCTTCAGCGCGGCCGGAGCCTTCGCTTCAGCTTTGAAACCAAATCTGAGATAGAAAATATCCGATTTATGCAGTCAAGGGTGGTAGTGGAACCCCTGCGCCAGCATAGGGAGTCACGTTAAATATGTTTTGTATCAAAATTCGGGCAGGGAAGCACCTAAAAAGAACCTTGATTTTGAACAGCGATCCGCAGTTAATTTCCAGACGCCCTAGAAAACCAGGACACAGCTTGGTGCGAACAAAAAGCGATGCCCGCTCTCCAAAATGTCCTCGGTGCGTTGTGAAGTGAAAAATAAAGCGGCTGTACCAAGATCGCAATGGTTACAGTCCCGACATTCCATGTCCCATTACCGAAAACAGGCCAAAAGCACATTCCAGCTCTTTAGTGTCCCTGGTTTCAGCAGGAGAAACAACATGACACCAGCACGGCGTTTTTCTACCTTCCCTTCAGCAGTGTTTCCGTCCATCCCCCTCTCCAGCTCCCAGGAATGTTTCACATTCAGTTTCAGGTCTGAAATAAGATCAAACGCTGTGTGAAACCCAAGGGAAAGTCCCGTGTGATTTTCACAGACCTGGAACTGTGGCAGTGCTGTGGTAAAACATCATCAATTGCATAAATATTTCTGATACCCTGCGGAAGTCAAAGGCCAGTTTCATTCTTCACTGAATCATGGAATCACAGAATAGTTTGAGTTGGAAGGGACCTTAAAGCCCATCCATTTCCACCCCCTGCCATGGCAGGGACACCTTCCACTATCTCAAGTTGCTCCAAGCCCTGTCCAACCTGGCCTTGAGCACTTCCAGGGATCCAGGGGCAGCCACAGCTGCTCTGGGCACCCTGTGCCAGGCCTTTTCCACCCTCACAGGGAAGAATTTCTTCCCAATATCAATCTAGCCCTTCCCTCTGGCAGTGGGAAGCCATTCCCCTTTTCCCTTGTAAATTGTCTCTCTCCATCTTTCCTGTCAGCTCCTTCAGGTACTGGTAATAATTAGGTCTTCCCAAAGTCTTTTCTGCCAGCTGAACAATCCCAATTCTCCCAGCCTTTCCTTATAGAAGAGCAACAAAATAAATATCTCTGTGGCTTTATAAATTTTAAATTAAAAAGGAGCCACAGATTGATTCTGGCCCCGAATTAGTGTTATACTGGCTCTGGGACTTAAGCCACTTCCAAGCACTGCAGGATGGAAACTCCAGGTTGTTTTAAAATGGATTCTGGCCATGGCCCTGCTGCCGGCAGTGAGTGTTTCCACCACGAGGTGTCTCAGAGGTTAAATCACTGCAAGAACAAATTTGGGACTGGCTCTTACCACACACAAACAACTGGCATCGCCTTGCTGTCACATCTGGTTCTGTCTCTTCAAGAAACAAATAATAGTGAGTGGGAAAGGGTTGAGTTTGCTTGTGTTGTGTCTTAAGTATAAGTGAACTGTTTTTTCAGGTGCTACTAATTTTCATCATTCTTCCAAAGAAATAAAGAGTATACATATTCTCCTAATTCTGCAAAAATCTGCACAACAAAGATCAGAACAGAAAAAGGGAAGGGGCAGCCCAGATCTCTGCTCTGTATGACCAGGGACAGGACCCAAGGGAAGGGCTGGAGTTGTGGCAGAGGGATTGATGGGATGTCTGGGCAGGACCAGGAGCTGGACTCGATGATCCCTCTGAGTCCCTTCCAACTCGACCTGTGATTCTATGACTCTATACAAGAATCTATACAAGAATCTGTAGAATTTATCTGAAGTCTGCAAAGTGGCTTTGAATTTCTCCAGATCTAGTAGAGGCCAGGGTAAGAGTTCATGTTTTGCAGCTGCAATATGAGTGTTTATCCTGGTCTTCAAATAAGAAAAAAACTGATGCCTGAGCAGGATTTGAAGTAAAAACAACCTCTACTAACAATCACCTGTTTTGTAAGTGCTCGTGCTGGGCAGCTGGCTGGTTTCATATAAAAACAGACACTGAGGAAGAAAGCTTGGGATGTTCTCCCCAGTATGTTTCACTGTAAACAAATATATCCAAGACTTGAAATGCTCTGTGACACCTGGGGTAAGAGTTGAAGTATTTCTTCATCCTTACATTAATCTGTTTATTGGGATGTTCAGTGCACACATATATTAGTTCAGTTTAATAGAGGCCGTTGAGAGAAGCGAAAAAGGAAGAACTCCAGACCTTTCTCACCCTCAAAATATTAATCTATTTAAAAATAACACTAGTGTCACTACTTCTGAGGATTTTTCATCCTGTACAACTGATCTAAAAATTGAATTAAGCCATGGTAAGAAGCAGTCTGTGACTAATGAGGAAAAGACCTTGGAGGAATATGACAGGAAATCAGGCTGATACAGAGGTGCCCGAAGTTCTGAATGTCTCAGCAGCCACGAGCACAGGATAATCCTCAAGTAATCCCTGTGTGGAGCTCAGCAGGTGATTGATTCAGATACATTTTTTTCCTCTAAACTATTTCCTCCTGTTATAAACATAAACACAAGACTGGCAAGGAAAAATCTGAATTATGTCTGTATTATTAATTGCAGATTGTAGGAGGAAGGAGCAGCGTGTGTCCAAGTTGCTAATTATGAATAATTACCCCATGAGGTTCTGTAAGTGTCCCAAGTACAAACAAATACAAATCCCACTAACATCCCTTCCTACTGAAGAAGCAATTAAACATGGTGAGGAGATGCCACGTCTGCACTCTCTGGGCATTCCCTGGAAATTTTGACCCAGAAGAAAACAGCTTAAGGGCTGTGTGCACAAATTCCAGTATGTCCTAGAGCTAGAGGTGCTCAGGAATTTTAAGAATCAGGAAGCAAAGGGAGGAGTGGGAAGGGAGAGCAGGGCAGGGAGGCACCCAGAGGGTGCAGGGTAGAGTCCTTGTCCTGCTGCAGGCTCTCCTAAACCAAGCCTGTGGTGCACTGGGTTAAACCTGCCTGGAAGAATAGGGATTCCTGCAGAGCATTTCATCATTCTCACCACAGTGTCATGAAGAAGCATGACCTTTGATAGAATAAAAGGGGAAGCAAAATGCCAATAGCATCACCTGGTATCTGAAGCTGAGGCAGGATTGCAGGAGTGGCCAAGAGCTGCTGCAGAGGCTCTTCAGCAACTTTCCTTGGCACTCAATGATGAGGGTTCTCCTCTCCCTCCAGTGCTGTTTTCACCTTTTCTTGAGTACAGGTTAAATTTGCTCTCCAAGAGATTTTTCCTCTATACCATCACAAATATGTCTATAGGCTTAAAAATAGAGAGCTCTGAGATTGGGAAGTTCTGTGACTTGACGAGATCACACAATCTGGATAAAGTAGTCTTCCCCTCCTCTTGCTGCCTGTGTCTCCTCTCTCAGCAGTCTCTGCCAGTGCGCAGAGTGATCCTTGGACAGTTGAGCATGCCAAGGCTGTCTTCCAAGAGGCTCCAAGAGCCCTCCATTCCCAGGGATGTTAACTGGAGTTAAGGATGCTCTCTGCCTTGCAGGAACACTCAGCACAGTTGTACAACAAAGCTGTCAATCCAGACATGTCCTTGAGCTGTGGAGAGAAATGAGATAGACATAACTAGAATTTATCCCACTGCCCTACAGTTATCAGCATGCATGCCATCTATTCAGAGAATTTAATTTTCTGTGGCTTTCTACTATAAAGTATTTAATTTTGTATTTCTTCGATTAAGAGAATTTAAAACTCTGTCACGTTTTGTCACCTACTGGCCACGGTCCAGCTGTGCCCTGGGCTGCATCCAAAGGAGCCAGGCCAGCAGGTTGAGGGAGGGGATTCTCTCAGACTACCTGGGAATACTGCATCCAGTTCTGGTGCTCCCAACACAAGGGAAACATGGAGCAAGTCCAGAGGAGAGATGTGAGTTTAATAAAGGAGCTGGAGCACCTTCCCTATGGAGACAGCCTGGGAAGAGCTGGGGCTGTTCAGCTGGAGAAAAGAAGGTTGTTTGGAGAATCACAGCATCTTCCAGGATCTGCAGGGGCCTCCAGGAAAGCTGGAGAGGGACTCTGTATCAGAAACTAGAGTGAAAGGACAAGGAATGGCTTCCCACTGAAGAGGGGAAATTTAGGCTCGATATATGGAAGAAATTCTCCCTTGTGAGAGTGGGCACAGGGTGCCCAGAGAAGCTGTGGCTGCCCCTGGATCTCTGGAGTGTCCAAAGACAGGTTGGACAGGGCTTGGAGCACCCTGGGATAGTGGAAGGTGTCCCTGCCCATGGCAGGGGGTGGAACTCCGTGGGCTTTAAGGTCCCTTCCAATCCAAACCAGTCTGGGAGTCTCTAACAGTAATAAATATATGGCAAGAATGGGATGTAACACAGAATCCTGTTCTTCCATCTCACAGAGACAAGCAGGGAAACAGATATATCAGCTCTGCAAAATCCCAGCAGTTCTGAGCTGAGCTCTGGTTAATGTTTGGCTATGCATGGAATGTCAGTGGGGCAGAAGGGAGTAGACTCACAAAGCTGTATTTCATAAGGCTGCCATGACTTTCTCAAATATCTGAAGACTGGCAGTGTCTTCTCTATAATTTTTTTTTAATACACTGCTATTTCCAAAAGACAAACACAAAAGATGGAACAAAAAATCAAA